GGCGGGCGGCCCGGGGGTCGCCTCCGCCCTCGGGAACCGCCACCGAGGGGCGGCGCGGGGAGAGCGCGTCGGAGGAAGGCAGGAAAGAGATCCTTGCTTCAGGCCCCCAGCCGTCCTCCCCGGGTTCCCAGTCACCCTTCCCGGACCCGGGAGGCTCGCGAAGTGCCCCTCCCGGCCACCCCCGCCCCGGAAACCGAGCTCGTTCCTCCCCAGCGAGAATCCTACAGGTCCCCCTCCACATGGGCTTTGGAAAACTCAGAAGTGAATGTCCAGAAGCCTGCCCCACACCCACCAAGAAGCCACACAGCTGTGTGAGTGTGTGTGCGTGTCCCTTCGATTTTATGATCTTTTTCTTTTCTCCCACTGGACTCATCCTCGGCTCCCCTCTCTTACCCCATCTTTCATGCTGCACAAACCTTCAATCAGCAGTTCCCCAAAGAAGAGATTTCCTCAGCCAAATGATAATGTCCAAAGCCAAACCGGGGAAAGTGTCTTCCTAGTTTGGAATTTTCCATCTTTTTTTTTTCTTTTACCTACAGTGAAATTTGATTTGTATTTGATTTTTGGGACAACTGTTGCTGATAACACTCTCTGGATTGTTTTTACAGCCATTGACCCCGGAACTTACTTTCAGGAAAGCAGCCTCCTTCAAAATGAATTTGAACACTTTTGTCTTTGGATGGGAATCTTCTGATAATGAACGGAGTGGTTAATCCAAGCCATGTAGTGAAACCAGAAATTTGAAGAAAATGGAAATGCTCACGTTCTTGTTGACGTGTGTTTCCCTACCCCTCATCAGGGGGCACAGTCTTTTCACTTGTGAACCAATCACTGTTCCCAGATGCATGAAAATGACCTACAACATGACATTCTTCCCCAATCTGATGGGTCATTACGACCAGGGTATTGCTGCTGTAGAAATGGAGGCAAGTAGTTCTTCATGACTTTATTGAAAAACGGTTTGTTCTAAAACTATAAGAATCTCTTTTATTTTTAAACATAAAGGATTTCTTCAAGTTTTGTACAAGTCAGTTTGAAAATTTCTTTTGAAAATTTAAATTACTGACATATTTTGTATACATTTTGGTCTCCTTTTAGTGAATTTGCTTAAGATAGGGTTTGTTTTATAATGAAGTATAGTTATGAGTGATTTCTGAATATCTTATGCATTTTATTATGTATGATAGACTATAAAAAATGTAAATCCTGAACTTGTTTTTAAATTCACTGAACATATAATCTATACTGCTTGGACTAAAAGTGAAAAAACAACAACTTTTGTTGTTATTATAAAGGTAATATACAGAGGGGTTACAGTTATATGTCAGGTGAAGAATACATTTCTTTCCCTCACAACATGTTTTCCTAAGTGGTTGTAATGTTTGCATGGCTCAGTTTTTCCAAAAAGAAGAAACCATTGGAATATGGGCTGAGGGTAGTATTTTATTAAAAGTGACTTAAAAAACAACAACAACATAGCACTTAAGTATTCTTTTTAAGATACTTATTAAATGAAAGCACAAGTTAGGTGAGGAGCAGAGTGACAGTAAAGATTGCCTCAGGTGTACCTCAGTTCCCTATTATAGTCTCTGGTTTGGAGATATGCAAATTTGTAGGGAGGTGTGGGAAGAAACAGCTGCCTGTACAGACAGGAACCTGCCCTCCTGTAACTGATCAGTTGGCTTGATAAGTTTCCTGAAGGAAAAAAGACTAATGTATTATATTTGTAGTCTTTCAGCAGAAAAACTGTTTGAAGTCGTAAAAGTGGTTTCTAAGACCCCCCCCATCTAATATAGATGCTTGTTTAAAAATGACTTCTGATTTCGCAGCTTTGATTGTTTTCTACTGTTGTTTAGTTGAATGGTTATCTGACTACCTCATTGTAGACTCATGTCTAGAATAGGAAAGCTTTTAAATACAAAATAGACATACGATTATATTACTGAAATTGTTTACTAGTTCTTCAATCCAGTGGAATGTCTTTTCTTTTCTTTCTTTGTCTACTGGAGATTGATCCAAGGCCTCACTCATGATAAGCAAGAACTCTGCTTAGATACATCCTTACGGTTCAAGATAACCTTTTGAATATTGAACAAATGATTCAGTAAGACTGCCATTGGTTAATCATTTGATGCCCTAATCAGTTTTAAATTAGGTTATGTAGTGGGGATACCATAAAGCAAAAAAAAAAAAAAAGACATTGTCCACTCACATTTTCCCTGATAGCAATGAATGTTTTATAGCTCATTTTTCAGTAATGTTCTTAAAGCATTTTATTTCCCTTCTATGCAGAACTGCATATAGATTAAGTCTGAATGCCAGTAGTGAGTAAGTTCCTATCGTTTAGATCAAGTTACATATTGAAGGATGCAGTATAACGATAGTGGAGAGACACGTCCATGCTATTTTTAAAGACCTATAATTGTAAGACAGTAACAAGTTGTTGCTTTTTTTTTTGTTGGTCGTGGGACTTGAACTATGGGCCTAGACAGGCGCTGTCCCTCAGCTCTTCAGCTCAAGGTGAACGCTCTACCACTTGAGCCTCAGTGCCACTTCCAGTTTTCTGGTGGTTTACTGGAGATTAAGAGTTTCATGGACTTTCCAGCCTGGGCTGGCTTTGAACTACCATCTTCAGGTCTCAGCCTCCTGAGTAGCTAGGATTACAGGCGTGAGCCACCAGTGCCCAGCAACAATTAAGGTTTTATTCCACACATTTATTTTAAAACCAATCACTTCTTTTCTGGCTTAAAAAAGGTATTTTTTCTTTACTTACCTTCTTTCCCAGGTAATTTTGTGGGTTAGCTTATCGAGGTGACATTTTGTTATCTCTTTGTCCTATGCCATTTTCCTTATGTATTAAACTTTATTATAGCATTTACTAAAGAAGTTTTTAGGGCCTCAAGCTTTCCACGTGTTCTACCACTTGAGCTATACCCTAAGCCTTTTTTACAGATAGGTCTTTGCCCAGAGCCAGCCAGTCTGTCTTTGATCTATCTATCTGTGCCACCCCCATAACTAAGTTATATGTTGATTTGAGGTCTTGCTGCTATGCTTGAACCATGATCCTGTCATCTCTGTGTTTTGAGTACTGGGATTACAGGCAGGATCCATCATCATACTGGCAGTATTTTTGTTACAAATCTCACTTAAGTCGGTTATAAAAGGATATACAAGAAGAAAGCCACCAAGCAGTATTAATTCCAGCATTAACTTAAGAATACAAAAAAGGGAAAAGGGAAAAGAAAGGGCAAAATAATATCAACCTGGGTCAGACTTTTCATCCATATATAATTTCTTAGTCTGTAGTGTTGTCTTTTCCTGTTGCATTCCTATTTGTCCTTGGCCAGCAGCATTTTCTTTAACTTCCATATTGAATTGTCCAAATCCTGTCATTTAAGAGCTGTACATGAACTTAAAGGTTATACAGAGCTTCCTGACCTCTTTTTATGCCATTAATTCCTTCTAAAAATATTGAATAAATAAAATGAGCAGGATTATAAAATGAGCCAATTTTATATTGAAAGATACTATTATTTATGACTGAACTCAAGACTCGTTTATTATACAGATGAGGCTGCTGAAGCCCAGAGGAGTGATTATTTGTCCAGGGTTTGAGCACTAGGATCTGGGACAATCTCCATGGAACAATCTATATGATGCATAATTTCATCTTTAATTCCCTTGACCTTATTGGAGGAACAGGACAATATTTACTAAGATTCAGAATGTACTATTTAAATTTAGTCTTTTACTTCTTTGCAGACTTCATGGATAAAAAAGAGTTTCAGAGAAAAATTAAACTAGGTGACTTTTTAAACTTCTATTCAGCTTCATCTCTTCATTTTTCATCTCATCAGTGTCTTGATTACAAAATTCTTGTTCTGACAAATAACATCCTTATCCTCTACTTTATTAGTGCCAAGATGATTTTATTAAGATATAAATCTTTGCAGTCCACCTTGAGGTTAAAATTCTCTACAGTAAGAGTGCTAGCCTTGAGCTGAAGAGCTGAGGGACAGTGCCCAGGCCCAGAGTTCAGGCCCCATGACTGGACCCCCCCCCAAAAAAAATTCTCTACCATAAGTCTTTTTTTTTTTTTTGTCGGTCG